CAGTAGTCTTCTTGACGTGTGCCAAGCGGCATCACGAAGAAGCGCAGCCTAATCAGAAGATCTTTGATAATGTTGAGTTCAAACTGTTGCGGAATTAAACATGACACGGCCAGAGATGATCATGTTCTTGCGACACCGGACACAAACTAGGTGATTTAGCTTCCCGGCGCGAGATCCGGCTAAGGAACCGCCAACGCCACGATATTCCCCGCTAGTCTTCACTTCCGTGACTCAGACCATGTTGCACAGATGGGGCCATAGTTCAGCTGAAGGACGCTTGGCTCCGGTGGTACGGGTCCCAGTGAAAACGATGCTCTTTCTAGGTTGACATACACTATGGATCTTGTTAAAACATGCTTATTTTGATCTTAAAGTACGGTAACATTGATCCAGTTAAGGTTCTGAGTGCAAGCGACCATCGCAGGGTCCACCTCTTGGCAGCAATTGAGGTGCGAACAAACGCCACAACCACGGACTCTCCCGTTATTCGCGAAGTCTAGGCATTGTTCTTCAGGTCTTGGATGTTGTCGCGATGATCTTGGAATATGCTTTTGATCATCATAACAACAGAACTGCGCTTGATACTCGAGAGAACTTGTATAAGAACCCCTTCGATAACCCGGTGTTGTCGAATCTGTCTCTCCTCATCACGCTCACTCAACTCCAGCCTCCATCACAACACATTCTCTGAAACTCACCCACATTCAATCTTTTCCCAACCCCAACTCCAAAACACCAACTTTATTCAAAATGCATATGCCCACCTTCGGTCAGATTGCCACTATTGGCATGGCTCTTTTCGCCGCCGCAGCTATTGCTGCTCCTGTTGCTCAGCCGCTTGAGGCTGACGTTGTCGAGGTGAGTATCGAAAACTAATGGCAAAAATTCTTTTTCTGACCTCATACAGCGCTCTGCCGAGATTGTCGTGAGTGTTGCCATCTGAAAGCTTTCAAAATCCCCTCTTTCAAATATCTTCGTTGCGATTTGGGGACAATAGACTGACTTGTCATTTCGTTAGGCTCGCGGTGATGGTATCTCCGTAAGTATCGGAATGAAATGGATTTTCAAGCAGTGAATCACCATCGCTAATGGCTTTTGACCAGACCTTCGCTGGCGTTGAGCTCGCTGCCCGCGGCGAACTTGAGCAGCGCAACAAGAAGAAGTGCAAGCGTACCAACAACAAGGGATACTGCACCGACTCCGACGACGATAAGAAGGATAAGAAGAAGAAGCAGTGCAAGCGCAACAAGAAGGGAGACTGCTCTGATTCGGAGGACGACAAGAAGGGCAAGAAGCAGAAGCAGTGCAAGCGTAACAAGAAGGGCGACTGCTACGACTCCGACAATGACAAGAAGGACGACAAGAAGGGCAACCAGAAGGACGACAAGAAGGACAACAAGAAGGACGACAAGAAGGACGACAAGAAGGACGACAAGAAGGACGACAAGAAGGACGACAAGAAGGACGACAAGAAGGACGACAAGAAGGACGACAAGAAGGGCCACTACTAATCGCCATTGTCCTGGTCATCTGTCAAGGCCATACTCAATGTTTGGACTTTGCATCTGACGATGCATCGTTGGGCTCCAATTTGACTCGGCATTGCCACAGGCTTACGCCATTTCATTTCTGAATTGTATATTTAGAACTTCACATATTCATATTTCGTCATCAATCTCATATTATTGCTGTCGGCCCCATCTGCCTACGAAATCGGTCTTCGCAATATGCCTGGTTCATCATTCGTACTTTGGCCAAAGGAGCTGCCCGGTTAAGTGACGTATGATTTACTATTTCAGAGAATTGAGAGAGCAGAGCCTAGAGCTCACGCAGACCTGTTGCTGATGTGATTTGTTAGATGTCGAGGAGCAAAGATGTCCTCCATCATCAGTCCCCCATGGCCGGCAGCTGGCTTCATTGCTCCACTGCCAGAACCTGACCACTGTATGTCACACCGTCTACTGCATTCCCACCAGTAGTCACGAACAACGTCTTGTTATCCTCGGAAACGGCAACAGAGGTCGGACGATGAATGAAGGTGGTATCACCACCGCCAGCGATCGTGACATACGTTCCATTCAAGAAAATCTGGCCCAGCGCGTTCTGAGTCTGGGCGGCAAAGATGTTGCCCGAGGCATCAATAACAAAGTCATCCCAAGCATAGCCCCCGGACGCAACCGCCAATGTCTCAACGTCGCCAGCTTTGTAGCCGTCTTCAGTGATAGAAACGCGGCCAAAACTGGTTCGTGCGGTGTTTGTGAAGTAGGCATATCCACCCGCAATCTTGATCCCGTTGATGCCAATGGGAATGGTGGCATTTGCGGGGGCGGCAAAGAGGTCGTCGGTAATCGCCACCTCAGACGCGCCAGTCTGGGTATCGATGCGGAAGATGCTGCCAAGGCGTGAGTCGGTAGCCAAGACCACATGAGGCTTAGACGGCAGAGAGGCGAGCCCGTTGAGCATGACGGCATCGGGAAGCCGGGCAACGACGTTGACAGTGGGCTTGGAGCTCTCTCCGTCGCTGAAGCCAACTATATAGACGCTTTCGTTGGTGTAGGAGTAGTTGTTGCCGCGAACGCCGCCCAGAATAGCGAACTTGTCTGCGCTGATTGCTGTAATGCCACCAATCGCCGTGGCCCCCGGGAGTTTGGTGACCAGTTCGGCTCGGGATCCATTTCTCAGAGTGTCTATGGTGTAGAGGCTGCCGTTGTCGAATGTGGTGAGAAGAAGCTGGCCGTTAGACCGGAGAGCGCTGTTTTCGATAGTCACAGCGTAGTCGGTGAAGTTCCATAACTGCGACACCACCGAGGCGGCAGATGCAGAGCTAATTGCGGCTACAACTGCCAGGAAGGCAGAGGATAACATGATGGCGGTGGTTTTCTTAGATGTGTCTGGAAGCGGAGGTCAATTGTTCGAATTGCAACTGCACGCATGCTTTAATATAGACTGATGGCGAGTGGATCCTCGGGCCTCGCTCGATGCGTTGCGTGATTACCGACGTCGTTGGCCATATTATGAGGAATTTATGTCGATTTCATCTCGGAATTACCTTTGTCTAGCACATCCCCTGACTCCCCTAACGCCTGCCTCCTTTCTGTGTCCCTGTGCAGATGGGTACTAAATGACGGCAGATATCGGCCGGAGAACCCCAAAGGCAGGGACAGATCTGGACGGCAACCTAGGAAGCAGGTATAATGCAAGGATTTTCGCCAAGAAAACACTTTCAACGCGGCCCGTGTCCAGATCATCAACGGGGTTAAGCGTGTTGCGGCTCGGATGTTTGCTCGCATCACCCCCACAAAGCCTAATGTTCGCCATCTTTGGACGAACAACTGACATGGAGGAAGCCCTGCCCCTCTTTCAGTGTGACGGTACTACTGCAAGGGGTTTCCACCTCCTTATTTCGACTCTGCTCCCGCAGGTTGCGGAGGAGGATGCGTTCGATCCATATTGATCATTCGTCATAAATACCAGAAATAGGAACCATCAGATTGACTTACGACTCTTGCGACAACAGCCAGTGGACTGCTCGTTCTGATAATGTAGCGTCTCACGCGATCCTCAACGACTGTGAATATTTAAAATGGACGTTAGCCACGCTGAGGAGACATTGGGCAGCTTCTAGGTGGCTTTTTCTCGACGAAAGCCTTCGTCCGAGACGTTGGAATGCCAATGGCATGATGCATCAGATGGTCAAGGTCTTTCACATGGCTGGGAGAAAAGAAATCAAGAGCTTCGCATAAAATATCAGCCGAGAGAAAGTCTGGAGATCCAAGAGACTGTTAGGAAGTGATGAAAAATAATGACTCGTCAATTTCGCCAGCGCAACCGCGACGAACTGGAAGTTTAACCGAGCAGCATCCGTTGCCCTTTGTTGCCAGCTCCTTCCGCATCTTCTGCTGAACGCAACTTCGCTGCCTGGAAAATTCACCTCGCCACACGAATATTTCTTCCTTTCTAACTTTTCTTCTTCGCAGTTTGCCGCCTGGAGGCGCACCTTATTAACTACTGTATAACTCTCACAGGGAAATATTCAAGGGCTAGGATAGCCTAAGTTAGAGAAACCTCTATAGCTACCTATAGGGGTATATAAAGAGAGCATAAATCGCCTTATATATATATAGGGAGTAGGTATCTCCCTCTTTATACTACTATAACCTATTACTCCTTTAATATTAAGATATTATTACTATACTATATTAATACTATTTATTACTACTACTTTAAGAGTAGTAATAGTTTCTTTATAATTACCTAAAATAACTAAGATAAAGTATATAGATTTTTATATATATAACTTAGTCCCTTAGTATAAAGCTTAATAATATATTAAATATACTACTACTTTCTACTAGTATACCTTAATAAGATAATATATTTTTAAACTAAGGTATAGAGATATTTTAAGTAAATTAAAATGAAATTTAAGATAAATAAGCTATATAATATTAATTAAATTAAGTATCTTATATTATTAAAGTATAATACCCTATTAAAGGAACTTAAGGATATATATATAATCGCTATAACGTAGTAGTAGTTAATAGGGCGGTTAGATATATAGGGGGTGGTTAGAGTAGGGGGGTCCTCTTATATATCCCTAGTCATACAAGTATTCACAAAAGAATTCTTCACAAAACGACCTCGCCACATGAGAAACAAAACTGGCTGCCTGCGCACACATCCGATCAAGCGCATCTGAGGCGACCTCGAAGCGAGCCAGAACCCTTCCTCAACATCACTTTTGGTCTCCAGTAACGAACGACAATCTGAAGATATCCGATCATCCGGCACCGAGAACCTACCGCTATAAATCTGAAGTTTTCCTGGTAACTCTTTTGCCCATCTCTTACATCATTTCACGATAGCCATCTCACTGACTAACAAGTCTGAACTGCAGTTACTCCAGAAAACGCACCTTCCCCAAACGCCAGTCGCACCTTGTTGTAAAAAGAATTCAACTAGGCATTGCAGGTCATTCGATAGTACGTGCCGCAAGAATGACAAAGGAGGCACAAGAAACCCACCGGCGAGAAACCCAACGCTGGCGCGACGAACTGCAGTCTCTCCTCGGCAGTAACACAACGCCGGATGGCATGAACATCGAGAACCTGCAGCGTGAAGTCTGCCACACCCTGGTCAGAATAATCAAGAATTCGCATGAAAAGCCCCCGGAGTCGTTGTGGGATGTTGGAGGACCTCTCCATAACATCCACTATCGTCGACCTGTCATCAGATCGATCTGGGAGACCTTAGCGCGAAAGCAGACAGCCGGCGCTCTTACGCCCGCGACTTCCATGCGCGATATTGTACCGAGAGACGTTCAAGGTACCCAGTCAGCCAGAGCTGCAAGGTACAGCCGGCGAAATCAGTCCGTCGCAGGCGACACGGGTTCTGGATCTTTCATGCCGTCCCCATCATCAATTGCTGAGCCGTCAATTGCTCCTGGCTCACATCAAGATCAGCCCAATAACCAACAACTCTCCAATTCCGACACCGAGAACATCATGACTCAATGCACAGTCGATGACCCTTCAGACCAAGCGCAAACATCTCAGTGTAGCCGCGGCGTGGCCTTTACGTACATCAAAGACACTGAACTGCTCAAACCTGGAAAGAACCTTCATGGAAGCCTCATCTTGAGCATCCTCCGACGCGCCGCGCATCTCAACCCTTTCGGGTATGTCATCTTGGACCCCGCAGTCTCCAGCGGGATCCAGAACCACAAGCCGATTCCAATAGACGTACAGGAACGACTGGCATCTTCTGGAAGATGCTCCATCATTGCTCCTATCCATCTCGCCGACAGACAACATTGGGTGCTACTGAGATTCGATCGACGCAACGACGTTGTTCACGTTTACGACTCCCTATCCCCGACCGGTATTGATGGCCAAGTTCGAGCCTTCATCCTTCTGCTCATCACTACGCTGGCGATGCACGATCCCGTCCCCGCCATTCACAGCTGCCATTGTCCCCTGCAGGCCGACGAAGGAGACAGCGGAACAGCGGTGATTGTCAATGCGTTGGATATCATGACCAGAAACGGCTACCTTGAAGTCGACAGCAATAAGAACTACACCCTTTAGCGAAAGGTGCTGTGCCCAGTGCTGGATCCGACTGCAAAGAGAGTATCAATCGACGATTGCATTCAATCCCATGCAAGCGTTGCAACTGTCAAGACGGGGCTGATGCAGGTGAAGTCGATTCTGAAAGCGCTATGCGAGCAGACGACCGCTCTACCCGGCATCAGGAGCGACCAATTGGCGAATGACTTCTATGCCCACAGAGCGGCGCGAGAAGCCTTGAAAGTTTGCACACAAGTTGATCCATGCCTCATACGACAATTGGATGCATCAATCGAGCGGTGCTCGGAGCTCATCAACGAGAGAGCAGCGGCTTGCGTATTCTTCGGTCGTGCCATATCTGCAATTGAGGCTTCCCTGCACGAGATGGATGGCACTGGAAGCGACGTTGAGATGTTGGAGGAAAGCTAAGCGTGGCGCCATTGACGCGACAGAAGCCTTTACCAAGCCCACGGCCTCGACTTCGTCGACCTCCAACGGCGCAAGAAAGCATCGACATATGCTCTGGGCCTTGAGGGCTAACCCTGTCTGCATGTGTATCTTAGGAATGTAAGATAGAATGTTCTGTGATAAAATTATTATCCCAGTGTGATTAACTACATTCGTTGTGAATCTTGGCGGACTGGCAATATTCTGAGATTTACTTTCAGAGAGTGAATATATTGTTTGCGTGCTAGCTCTGCACCTTCTCTGAGATCCAATATGAAGCAATATTACACTTTCAAGAGTTCTGTGACGGATCGGCATAAAGCCGTCCGACGACGTTGCCTTTCAGCAGCCGATCCACCCCCTCCGCTAGCCTTTCAAACGAAACCTCTTCAAGAGCTGGCTGGACTTTGTTATGAGCAACAAGTTTGAGAGATTTCTCCACCTCTTGGAGCGAAGACCCGGCAGATCCAATGAGCTTGACGCCCAAGGCAACGAACAAGTGCGTATCGAGCACTGCTTGCTTCGAAGCAAGGCCAACAAGGATCACTTTCCCTCCGAGTTTGACCGCTTTGGCTGCCGCGGAAGTGGACGACCCCGCACCAGCGAAGTCAAGTACAACATCAAATCGAACTCCGGGGAAGCTATCAAAGGTCGTTCCCGAAGAATAAGCCCCTGCAAGTGCCGCCGCTGGAAACTTGCGGCGGTCAAGGTCGATGCAGAAAACACGGGCTCCCAAGCCAGCCGCAATCTGGACCGCCGAGAGGCCCAAGCCACCTAAGCCTATGACGGCAACCTTGGATCCAGGGGAAATCTGGCCCTCAGCAACGACTGCATGGTATGCTGTCGCTACAGCATCGGTAGCCACCGCTGCTTGGGCGAACGATACGCCATCCGGGATCGGCAAGGTTCGGTCTTCGGAGAGCACCACGTACTCGGCGAACCCACCGTCCCGACCTATTCCGGGGCTGTCGACTACATCTCCAAGTTGGACAGGGTGTTTCGGTGTGATGACTGAAACAACAGCGTCACCAATTTTGAACTTGGCGATGTCGGCTCCACAAGAAACGACAACTCCAGCAATCTCGTGTCCGAGAATAATCGGGCGTTTCCAGAAAAACGTGGTATCGATGCCGGAAATGATATTGCAGTCGGTGTGGCAGATGCCGCATGCCCTCACCTTGACCAAGACTTGGTTGCTCTGTGGAGTCGGCACAGGAACGTCACAACGCTCGAGACCCTTTGAAGGGTTTGAGAAATGGTAAGCTTTCATGATTATAGTGGTTTTGTAGATGCGTAATTCTTTGAGCAAAGGCTATCGTGGCGCGATCAAAATGTTCGATTTCAGTGTGATTGATGAAGGGAATGTGATTAATTCAGACCAAGAATTGAGAAGAATTCACTCGCAGTTAAATAGATAAATATAAGTCACTCGAGGCAGAGGTACCAACTGGCTATCGGAATTTATTTCTACTGAGAATTTCATGGACTAAGCGTGGGTTAGAAGAAGCTTGCCAATCCAAAGCATCTGATCGCCACCGGGTAAATCATCGTCCCGCCTCTAATATTCTCTTCAAATTCAAACCTTCATGAAGGTTGAGATATTTGAATTAAATGAGGTAGAGATTGCGCACCTAATGTTTATTTCCATTCGTGGTGGTTGCCAAATGATTACTGATTACACCTCTGCCGCACGGATTGCCGAGGTGCGGCCACCCCTGAAGCCAAAAGCATCATAATCAGGCTTTGTCATCATGGCTTGAGAGATCAGACTCCGAATCATCGGCTATGTTCAGTCTGACGTCTGGTAGCATACAGGACGGCTTCGGTCGAATTGAGCTGGAGCTGGTGTGGGTTGAAGTCATGCCGTCGGGACAATTGAAAAGGCCAGACGTTGTTTCTGAGCAAAGATTAAGTTGCGCCTCCCGTCGTGATTGTGTATATAATACGGTCGGAATTTCCATGAACAGAGAATAATTCTCCCAATCTGTAGATCGACTTGGAAGGCCAAATACACTTTTCTTCACCAACAATAAACCCACTTAGTCAAAACCCCAATCTTTTTTTCTCATCATCCGCCATGTCCACTCTTCAGGCCGCCGAGACGCAGTTTGTTACCTTCAATGGAGTGAGAGTTGCTTTCAGACGATTTGGAAAGCAGTCTCAGGTTCCATTGTTGTACATCAACCACCTCCGAGGGTCGATGGACACACTTGACCCCCTACTGTTCAACGCCATTTCGAAGAACCGAGAGGTCATTGTCTACGACAGCTTCGGTATCGGCCATAGTGATGGTCAAGTTCCCGAGTCTACAGCTGCCATGGCTGCGATTGCGGCCGGCCTCTTGGTAGCCATTGCCGTCGAGAAGGCCGACGTTATTGGGTTTTCGATGGGAGGCGGCGTAGCCCAGATCCTGGCCTGGGACTATCCTCACCTTGTACGAAAGCTGGTTCTAGCTGGCACCCAATCCGCCATTGGCGAGGGCGTAGTACTGCCTCCCAAAGAGGTATTGGAAAGCGCGGGAGCAAACAATGACGAGCCTCCTACGTTGGAGGACATGCTGCGCCTCTTCTTCTTCTCATCGGATTCCAGCTTGGCTATCGGTCGTCAATGGTGGAACCGTATTCACGAGCGTCAAGTAACGGGAGAAGAGCGAAAAGGGTATCTTGTTGGACCTGGTGCTCGATCCCAGTTGACGGCGATCTTCTCGTTCAGTCTCAACTCGAGCAACTTCGACCGTCTCAAGGACATCAAGGCGCCTACTCTAGTTACCAACGGCCACAATGACATTATGTCGCCTACGCCAAACAGCTTTACTCTCCAGCAGAACCTTTCGAACGCGCAGCTCATCATTTATCCCGATGCTGGTCATGGTCATCTGTTCCAGGTCCCAGAGCTATACGCGCAGCACTTGGACTTGTTCCTTGGGCATTGAAAATTCTCACGATTCGTCGGTTTGAACGGGTGTTTTTGTCACGTGTATTTTTCACTCAGTTTAGTCATTAAAACTGTAATTTACTCCCACAATGATCGTTCTTTGTCTTCGCGCCGTTGTAAAATCTGGGAACTCTCGAGTCACTGTTGATTCGGCCGCTTTTCCGTCCGCGCAGCTCTCGGTCAGCTACGTTGGAAACCTCGTGGCTGCAAAACGCATGAAGCTGAGTGAAGCACCCTCATCTCACGCACAAATGTCCAAGAACTCGTGCCCATCTGTAGATTAAGTTCTTTCAAATCCAGAAAACGTCCATATCGGCATCAAACGTTTGAGGTGAACATTGAGGGATGGCCCTTCGCGCAGGGATTTGTCGCAGTATGCCGTTGAAAATGGTTTCTTCTGGACTTCGGGTCCATATAAAGTGGCGACGGGCGAACATTGACGCGCTTTCTTTCAGTGTCTCTGACTTCCATGCGCGCTATCCCAAAGGTCTGTTCCCAGAATTGGTTCGCTGGCCAGTTGGTATCCTGCCATTGCCGTCCAGCTGACTCCAAATTGGCCATTACTAGAGGCGTAGTGTTCACAGTCATTGATGGCTTGGATGGTGCAGTGAATGCCCAAGAATGTTGCAATGATGCTTGTCGCATAGTGGTGTTGTGCGGGGGCGCCACTTTGTTGATATTCAATTGTTCATTTTGATGGTCTCTGGGGTTAAATTTGCCCCGGCGGGCTCGTATTGTAGTCGTTGCCCAAGTTAATTCTGTCTTTTCGGCTTGGTTTCCATGAGCCCTATATATTGCAGCCGCATTCATTGTGCCTGTCCTGGAAGGAATACTGACGTAAATGCCATGATATTGTAGAAAAGGTCTGCATGATAGCAGTGTGTGGGAGAACGAGGCGTCTCCTGAGGCCCTCGCTCGACGAGCTGGCGGCAGTCCTCGCATGTTAGCATCATGAGCTTTGAGAAGGAACTGCGAAAGTGAATATGTATCCGACATTGACGCGTGTCTACTTACCGTCGCGACGAAAGTGCTCTCGATGATTGACTTCAGGCGGTGGTACCGGGCGAAAAGGACAAGACAGTGGAGGGCACATCACAGAATTTGGAGGAGATGAATCCAAAATGTGAGGACAAAGCATTGAAAACTTCGATGACGGACGTGCCAGTGAAAGGTGACTGAAAACAGGCAGTAAAGCTTTGTACTTAGAAAAGGAAGGGACGCAATGTTTTTGGTTTCATTGATGAGATATCATGCCGGTCTTGATTTTCTTCCAGCTACGAAAAGTGCAAGTACGTAAAGCAGTCTGGTAGAAAAGACCCTTCAACATGACATCTCCATCGGGTCGACGCTATCCATCTCCCCAAGCTAGGAAGGCGCGGTTGAATACCATCTCGAACTTTCCCAGCAATCCCGTCTCTGCATCCAACCACGATCCCGGAGGTGTTCTCAGGCTCGATCAACACATGGTGCCTCCAATCTGCTCCTGCTGGGCCTCGATGACATCGTCCTCCTCAAGGTCAAGGCTGCGGGGGGTGTCGTCCTCCACCAGTCGAGTGCCGTCGAAGATGAATCGAACAGACTTCGAGTCCTTTCCTTGTCGCTCACAGAACGCTGCCATGACTTTCTGCATGCGAGTATCCCGCTTGATTTTGAAGACGATGGTATGGCCGGTGGTGTCGACAATCTTTATGTTGATCGCCGCGTTGTTGGGAGTTTCGGCAGCACCATGAGGAGGCGCATCCTCGGGGGCAGGGGCCTGGGGAGCGGGAGCCTGGTCAGGAACGTCTGTAGGACAGGAGTTGAATGAGCAAATGTCATTGATGGAGGGCAATCAAGGTGGGTTTGTGTCGTGGGTTGCTTGGAGAAAACCAGGTAAAAGAAGATGACAACAGACCGTTGGCGCCAGACGGGCCAGGAGCAGGCAGCTGCTCGTTGCCATCATGGGCGCTCTCCTGCTTGGGTTCCATCTCGATAGTTGTCGAAGGCTTTGGGTGGTACCGCGATGCCGAGACTTGGATTTGGTGGTGTTGTAGTGGGCAGAGCTCGTTGGTGTCGGCTGAGATGTGGAGGTGAAGACGACTTTTGTTGTGGGTTGACTCAACTGTGGAAGGGTGGTCGAGAGGTTGACGGGTTCTGTGGCAGCTCGGGGACCACAGTGAATGAAAGGGAAGGCACGAGATTTGCGCAGCCCGGGACGTGCCTGCTGCTTCCAGAACAACGTAACATTGACGAGGGGGTTACTGGTGCCTTCCAGTCTGCCGCCGCTCTCGTCTCAGGACACCTGACAGACAAGGCCATGCTCTTCGTGGTTCAAGATCAAAAAGTGGCAGAGAATGCCACTTGACTTACAATTTGGCCCAGCGTGAGACTGCCAACGGCTGTACACAGCGAAAAGTATAAGGTCTAGATTTTGCGTATACTCCTTGTCAATGGAGGTTACAAAAATCAAAACTTTGATCGATGCAGGGATCGAACCTGCGATCCTCTGCGCAATACGTTTGTAAAGCAGATGCCTTAAACCACTGGGCCAATCGACCGTATGAGATGATTCATCTTCACGTAGGTGTCCACTTGTGGATCATGCATGCACGCTACAGCCACAACGGCTGGAACAGGGACTTCGGGATGACAGGGAGCTGCTGGAGGCCTGGTTGAAATGTGATGCTTGTCTCTTATTTTATTCCACATGAAGGTGTAAAAAAGCAGTTAGATATATGTAATAAGAATTTAGGCTGCTATTTACCACAACTAAACCTATAGCAAATACAGACTAAGATGAAGAATCTCCATCAAATATAAAGGCAATTACTCTAACTAATTGTTCATGCGTCGTTCTGTCTCACTAGGAGTCTGGATCTGAAGGGTCAGTAAAATTAGGGCTCAAGGTCCTTCTTGCTATTTGTGGTGTCACCTGTGAACGGAAATGTCTATGGTCTTGCTGACCATTCACCTAACACCGCAGGCACAACCTTCTGCACCCAGCCACCAATGAAAATAGAAGAAACCAAAGTCGCCAGTCTAGCCATTTTGGCCCTGCTTGCACTCAAACTTGCCTTCATTGTCGCCAGTCATCTGACATCTTGCCTTTTTGCCACAATACCCAGTCGGCTTCCAGTCCCGGAACAAACGCATTGGTTACCGTTTGTTGGGTTTCGGAATCTTCCACTCCACTCCACACGGAAAACGTCTTGAACATCGAAATCGCAATATCTCACTTCTCGACAACTGCCCGGCCGACTATCCGGTTGACTGTTTGCCGACCTCTGTCTATTGCAGTAGTTCTCAGCCATCAGTGAGTCTTTCCGTCCTGGCAACATTCTGTTTTCGACGAGAGACTGTTTTCTTCTGGTGCCCAGGATCTGCTCGACGCCAACTCGATACCATTCAACGCTCGGCAATGATGAAAACCCGCTCCAGCCGACGACGACCGGCCACGTCACAATTTCAACGGTGCTGGTGCGTCGCATCGCGCACTTCGAGCAGTCTACTCCAAGCATCATTTTCCGGCTGCTGAAGTCCGTCATCCGAATCAGGACTTCATTCTACAAACAGCACCATCCTTTTCAGACGTCTCAGCTAGATCCTGACCTCGAGAGAGGCAACACGTCCCACAAGGCCTCAATTGATGCCCTTTCCACGATATTTCAATATTCCGGGGGGCCCAAATTGAGAGCGCAGTCAAAGTCTCGAGTACGACGAGCCTCTCGGAGGAGTCCAAAACCTCGAGATCATGTTCGGCAACATGTTCTCAGCTCTATCTTCTCATCCAAATGACCTAACTTGGGGTGGTCTATTTGGAGGCAGTCAGGGCTGTTGGCGGGGGATTGCGGACTCTCTTCAGGGTCGAACCTGTCTGTTTCTAATCACAGCATGTGAAAGGAGCTGGATATCGACTCGAAAAAGCTCAGCGAGGCGCATGGGTGTACAACGAAGGACGACAGATGTTCCGTCACGCGTACATCTTGATCTGGTTACCGCACACTTTGGGATGGGATAAAATTACGACCCTCTGCACGAGACAAATTGGAACCAAGAAGCGAATATCCAGGGTGTTAGGTTGTCTATCGTGACAGGCTGTGGAAGCTGAAAGCCGGAGTTCGTATGATGGTTTGTAATCGAAGGCAATGAGAATTTGAGGCTGTGCAGCACCCCCAGAAGACGACGGTCCCATTGCACTCAACTTAGTAGGGCTGAGACACAGATACAGGGCGATTATCCTTAGGTATAAAATCAAGTGTGAGGTCTGGTATGCTACGTAAAACGAAAGGAGCCAACAAAGAAAAAGAAGGCTGGGGGTTGGAAACAACAAGCATAAAAATAATGGACGAACTGGGGTTTGAACCCAGGACCCTCCGCAAGCAAGGTAGATAGATGCATCATGCGAAGCGGACATTCTACCACTGAACTATTCGCCCTTTGTTCTGGTTGATGAGTGCCGTGGAAGATGAAAGCCATCAATGGGATGGTCAGCACTGCGGCAGGACGAGGGCATGGAGTTTGACCTTGCAAGTCGTGTGGTGCTATCACTGGCCAGTCCGCCAGAAGGGCAGGTGGGCGGCTTCCGTGAAAGTTGGGGTGGATGGGCTGCCCCCACCCCCTTCCTGCCTGGTCCGCAGTCCTGACTTTGCTGACGACGCTTCAGACAAACGAAGGAGATTTTATTTGGAATGGAAAGCTCTGATGACGGAGCACGAAGTCGCTGCTGCAGCTGGAGCCACAAGTGTCGTTACCCAGGTAGATAGCCCGGTATGTACGGAAGGAGCTGCTCAGCTGTGGGGTAGCCTTTTGCGCTCTTCCTGCCTCAACGTGTGAAGTCAACCACCAGGCTCACATCCACTGACCTACCTTCACCTCGCGTCAACGTTCTCTCGCCTTTCGAACTTCACTCCCAAAATATCTCTCTCGACGCAATCCATCACAACAGGTCACCAAGTATCTCTCCATCCATCCTCACCGATCACACTTATCCAGAATCACAATGTCGTCGCAAGCCCCTAACCGCACCCTATGGGATGCTTTCTCAGGCATCCCAACCGAGATGCAAATTGCAATACTGCAATACCTACCAAAGAGGAAACTGGTTCTCTTCGCCCAGCTCAACAGCAGATGTTTTGATCTCGCTATCGAAGTGAGATGGAAAGAAGCCGAGCTGTCTGCACTCACGCGGGTGCCGTCTCGCAACGGCAGAAGACAAACGTATGCCAACCAAGTTAGGACTCTCCGCGTTGGACAGATATCCTCAGAGACTTTATCTAGCGTGTTGGCTCTCGACTTCCCCAAGCTTCGATCCCTGAAGAATGTTGATATCACTCGGTGCGACGCAGCTGCTTTGAATCTCGTTCGCCACTTCGCCCAGCTCCACAGTATAAACAACTTGGACATGTTATCATCCCAGTGGGTCCCTGAAACTTTTATCGGGGCGGTTCGCAACTTCAGGCATCTGAAACGGCTCAATATCAACTTCGCCTTGGGGTCCTCTCTCGACCTCAAGCCCCAAAACGCCATCTCATGGCCAAACTTGGAGCACGCTTTGGTGCGATTTGGCCGCGGCAGGCCTCCTAGAAGCCTGGTTCAGGATCTTCGAAAATGCCCCTGCCTCAAGAAGTTGAAACTCAGCACAGAGCGGCTTCCTAAATCAACCCTTCTCGAGCCGTCAGTTGCCAGCGGCGCGGCCGGCTTTGAAGCACTCCGGCACCTTGACATTCGCATCAGCCACCACAGTGCCATTCAGGAAATCTCACGGCTCACTGACCTGACTAGCCTGACAATAGATTTAGGCGACACCGTTTATTTCCCCTCCACCAGTTTTTCCCAACTCGCCAAGCTTCAGGAGTTGAAAAGTCTTTCTCTCACTAACACGAGACAACCCAACTGGCACCCCGTTTTGAACCCGAAAGTTAAGCAATCTGATATCCTTGACTTGCTTCGTCACCTCCAACAGCTCGAATACTTCAGCTGGAATCTCGAAAATGTTCTCGACACCCGCGGACTTATCGAGGGGATCGCGCGCCTCCAGACGAAATTGCAGAAGACCCATCTCGGTTTCGCCGTGTATATTCCCGATATTTTTGAGCGTAAAGACGTTACGATAAAGACTCAGAAAAGCCTCCGGATCCTTCGTATACGGAATATGCTGTTCGAAACACATCTTTCTGACTACGAGGCGGAGCACCTGGCTGCTCGAACAGTCAAGGCTTTGTTCCCATCACTCGAGGTTCTTGAAGTGGAGGCGGAAGGCTTCCTAGAAAAATGGTGAAGCTTTTGACTGCGATTGCCAACAGCTGGGATGACAGAGAACCACTCTCGGTTAAGGCCTGCAGACACGAAGGATGGTATTGTCTGACGGACATTTGTTGGGGTCTGCCTGGTTGACAGAGGCCTGAGTCTGATCTCGAGAATCACGAAAAGACTTGGAAACGTCTGGCGATAGGCATACCTTCTCGACCGTGCACTTTGCTCCCAACAGATTGGAGAAACGGTGGTCTACACCAGCGGACTCGAGACGATTGGCAGCTTCGCAACAAACGAAACGGTCCTGGGGAAAAGTAGAGTAATATGCGTCGAAGTGGAGATAGGATTCAGCGACTTAACTGCACAGCAATGACAGCCATGTGAAGAAGTTGAGTGCACAGTTTTATCTCGCGTGATGTTGAGTTGATGCCTCTTGTCAAGACAAGAAAACCGCATATCGTTTGTGCTCCCATCTCCATTGCAAGGCCAAGGACTGACGTGACGCGAGTAAATCTTCAGCTCTTCCTTCGGCAACCAACGCCGATATCTGTGCCCAGCCTAGACTATCTGAACCATACACTCCGAGGTGGAGGTCACACGCCGGACAGCGAAATCCCCGCAATATGGACATCCCCAAGGAAAACATTCATCCATCGTCTTGGCAAATCCACTTTTGTCCCCAACTCCAGGGAATCTGAACCATCCAGCCCAATCGACTTATCTTGCCAAGTCGCCAAGCGACCAGGTGTTCGTGAAATCGCCGGTTAAGGAAACCCGAATGACTTGAGTGAATTGACGTTGTTGTTGCCGGCTATGAACCTCTTTAGATGAACGAACCCTCCAATGTAGCCCGGCACGTCTCTGGCTGCTGGAAGTTTCCCAACAATATTCGCTCGGTATTGAGATGCAAAGACCTTCTGCTGTCATCTTTGAGCCTGAGTATGACCGACAGCACCAAGGCCCTCGATGCCAAGGATACGATGCCGCCATCTTTGCATGCAGATCCGCCCAAAGGTTTTAGGGCCGAAGATGTAATCAAGCCCGATGACGAACTCGACGAAGATGAGGAACTGGCCATTGCACTACAGAACCACGTGCCTGACACCGCAGAGGAGAGGCGTCTCGTCCGGAAGATAGACTTCGTGCTGCTTCCATGCCTTTGGTGGATGTACGTGCTAGCCTACCTCGATCGGGGGAACATTGTAAGAAGGCATCCCGTGCAGCCATGGTCCATCATGGAGAGATACTGACATGATTTTGAGGCCAATGCAAACGCTGCCGGCATGAGCGAAGACCTTCAAATGGCCGATAATGGTGGGTCATTTGCATGCTTGAGGAGGCTTTTCCAGCAACTGACGCTTCGTTGCAGACTACTCGCTGCTGGTCTACCTTTTCTTTGTAGGTTACTTTCTCTGCGAGGTCCCTTCAAACATGGTGATGAACAAATGTCGGCCTTCTATCTACCTTCCCACCATTGTCTGGGTCTGGGGTTGTGTCGTTATTGGGCTATCGCAGACAAAGAGTTACAACGGCTTTTTGGCCGGCCGTTTCTTCTTGGGTTGCATTGAGGCCGGTCTATTCCCAGGTGCCATCTTTCTCCTGACCTGCTGGTACACAAAGAAGGAGATCGGTGCGTTTCCCACCCAGGCAACTTGGAAGTCATTGCTTACAACACCACAGGCAAGCGGTTCTGTATCTTCTACACGTCTGGCTGCATTGCCCCAGCCCTCGGTGGTATCATGGCTGGCGCCATCATCAAAGGTCTGGAAGGAACGCGCGGAATTCCTGGATGGCGCTGGCTTCTCATCATCGAAGGAGTTCTCACAGTCGCTTGCGGGTTCGGGCTCTATTTCATTCTCCCCGACTATCCTCAAAATGCGCGATACTTCTCGTCGGAAGAGCGTCGCCTCGCCAGGATCCGGATTCTGTTCGACCGCCAACTGAGCGTCCACGCCACGACTCGCCGGATGAGTTCGTGGGAAGCATTCAAGGCGGTGGTCTGCGACGGGAAAACGTGGTTCTTCCTGGTGTCATACAGCATCATCATCCTCGGCATGTCTATCTCGTACTTTGTCCCGACCATCCTCAAGGCGATGGGCTACACGAACGTCACGGCGCAGTGGATGACGGTTCCGATCTGGATCACGGGTGCGGTGTGCCAGTTGGCGTTGTCGTGGACATCAGACAAAACCCAGGACCGTCGGTGGCACAGCGTCGGGCTGTTTGGACTTGCGGCCGTCGCTTGCCTCGTTTCGGCACTGGTCAAATCCGCCATCGCCAAGTACGTCATGATGTGTCTGCTCGTGGCGGGGCTGTACACGGGTCTGCCGCTGATGCTCAACTGGACGAGCGAGTCGATTCCGTTTCCGGACCAGAAGAGGTCGGTGGCCATCGCAATGGTCAACTCGTTTGGACACCTCGCCATCATCTACGGGAGCTATCTGTGGCCCAGCACGGGTGCGCCACAGCACTTGGTCGGGTTCTCGACTTTGACTGCCACCTGCGGCCTGGGGGTCCTGCTTGCCATCGCGGCTCCTTGGGTGTTCGGGCTTCTTCCGAAACAGCCAGTGACGAAGGTCGAGCGTGAAATCATGGCCCTGAATCAGCATGGCTCTTGACCCTTCACGTTCGCAGGACTCCGCAGACGGTATCTGTTGCAGGCAGCTCATCCCTCGACACATCGGAAGGTTTGCCAACTGGGGTTTTCCTTTTGCTGGAATTGAAACAAAAGACGGGTGGTGTCAAGGCAGCTTCGGGAAAGCCTCAAGAGGCCGTGGCTCCCGAGGAGCACTTGCGGTGGCCACGATACCTTACCTTAGGTACCTTAGTTAATCTTGCCTGCCTTGTTGGAAATTTAAAAGCTTTCTCGAGCTTTACGCGCAGGCGTCACTGCCACTGCATGTTCCAGCCTGTCGTTCTTTCTCAAGCCAGTTTGGAAGCAGCCCAGCCTCGACCTGCCTCCTTCACATCAACAGCAAGCACGAAACAACTGCACCTACCTCAGGCAATTGACCCGACGAGTCTGCCACATTTCCAATGACACGTCCCTGTCTCGAATCTCTCCCCCTCCTCCGGCCTTTTTCTTCCGACATCATCACTGCAATATCAACATCGGGCGCAAATATAGTCCATCCCATTCCGCATTGCATACGTATCACAGCCGTTTTCGCAGCTCCATTCGTACTTCACTCAAACCGAATTCCAGTCGGACTACTTCTTCGACACAACTACTCCATCCACACCACCCCATCTCAACCAACATGCGCTGCGCTTATTCCGACAACGGAGCTCCCAGCTCGGGCTCTGGGGAGCTGACAGCACTCCAACTATTCAACAACAAATATCCCAGCCCAGGCTCGCAGAAGTCGACGAGATCCGCACCTGCTAAGGACAGTGCTCCCAGCTTGAGCTCTCAGAAATCGACGAGTCCCGAGCTTCCCAACGATAGTCATCTTAGGTCGGGATCTCAAAGGTCAATGAGGTCTGCACCAATATCCAACGTTTTCGGCACCCGATGTATTCGTCGCCTCAATGTGCAAGAGGGCGACCTGCTCCAGGACCTCTACGCCTGGGGCACCCGGGTTGACGACTGGATCGGGACCATAACTCCCCATCCACCGTCTACGGATGACGACATCGATGCCATCACCCCAGCTCCTCCCCGTCTGCCTTCTGCGGGTGATGATGTCGATGCCATTACTCCAGCCCCTCCTCTTTCGCATTCCCAGGGTTCAGACGCATCATCCAGCGAGACGAAGATTACCGACCCCAATGCAAACAAGAAGCCGTATCTTCCCGGGTCTTCGTTACCGAACGATGCAATCGACAGTGAAAAAAAGCAGAAGCCTGGCAACACATACACTTTGGGTGCCACACAGCCTAAGGTGGAAACTACAAATGATGTACAACCCCCAAACGAACCCGCGGATGTCAAGAAGCGCAAGAATCTCTAGCGCAGAATCTTGGCCGTCCTGAAAGGACACATGAAAGAGGCTGATGGTTAATTTGTTTCTCACCTTTGACTTATTGCCAATGTTTCTGACAATATTTCTGCAGAACTCCCGCGCGTCGACCCCGAACCATCCAAATTCAAGACCTTTCTCAAACGATTCAGCAGATCAAAAGAACCAATCCCAACCGAGAATCTCCTAATGCCAAGAGAAACCGGCAGCAATTCCCAATCAGCTCAGGACGATGATAGAGATGAGACACGTGCCACAAAAGGAGGGAAAAGTCAGCGAAGGCTGTTCAAAAGACGGAAGGATTCGGTATAGGTTCAGCTGCAGGACGATGATGAGTTCATCTACAGCCGAGAGTCTTCATCTCAGCGGCGATGTGCTGATCCTGGGCTAGTGCTGGTGCTCGTTGAATGCACCAAGAGCAGCGACGGTTATGATGCTCGGGTTTGGATGATTGTTTAGTCTCAGCGTCTTCGTCTATTGGTATATTCCAAATGAAGCGTTTTGTGTCTGTACCCTTTCTTGTTCTCGCTGCCGCCGGTGATTCCTTGAAAAATGAGACGTCCAAAATAAGCATTTACTTTATTTAGCATCTGGCCCTGTCGTGCTAGACCCTGGATATGAGCGTCCCGAAACACGGGAGGTGACCGCTTAGCATAAAACTTCTGAACAAGTGGTATCGATTGCGGAACTTCATTAGTTGTGACATAATGCCTCATAAAATGCTTCATCTCTTGGTTCGTGTGCTAAGAACCAAACCTGTCGCTCAAACGCTCCTTTTCAATTGACAAGAAGTGGAGGTCATCCTCGAGCTTGGAAAGGTCCTCCCTTGCACGCTCCAGGGTTGCCAACGTCTCGTCCACGGCGGCCTGGGCCGCCCTGAGCTCTCTTTCACCCACCCTTCTCGTATCCTGTAGCCGTTCTGTTTGATGTGCTGCCGAACCCATCTTGACCCTGACGGCCCTCCTCAAGGCGTCGAAGAGCATGCCCGGTTGAAGACTCATGTCTGTCTCCTCCGGTGGCTGAGACGGCGATGCCAGGGCTCGACCCATGTCGTTGGCGCTTTGGTCGTCGTGCGCGTGAAGGACGGCGGGGTATCTGGCAACGAGATCGTCAAGGCCTGCGAGAAAACCGTCAAACTGCTCCATCTGGGCGGCGACAGCGTCCCCCGATGAGAGACTCTCGAGTTTGGCGCGGGCGGCCTCCAGGTGTCGTTGCTCCTGAGCGTACTCGTGCTGGCGGAGCTTGACCGTTGTCCGCTGTATGTCGACCCTGTAGCCCAGCTTCTCGATGTCGCCCTCGAGGTCGGCCATCATGCTCTCTCGTTTCCTCTTGTGGCGCTCTACTACCGTGATGCCTTCCGTGTCGTCAGTCATGGGGGTCGTGCTGCTCTCGCTCCTCCGCGGCGGGTCCGGGGGCCTGGTGCGGTGTTCTGGCGGGTTGTTTGTTCTTGATGTAGTCCCCGGCCATGGCCTTTGCGGGGCCGACGCGGGAATGTGGGATTCGGGGCGGAAATTGTTCCAGGATGATGAGGATGATGTGGTGGTGGTGGTGGTGGTAGTGGCGGTGGCGGTGGTCTGCGTTCTTTGTGGCGGTTCGGTCATGGCGCGTATTCCTGAGGTGTCGGTCTTGACTGACGTTGTTGGGAGTGGCCTTTGCCGTGGTGATGCCACGGCCCTGGTGTTCGGTTCTGGATCGTCGGTGGTCCGGGTGGGCCTAGACCGTGGCGATTCCTCTGCTCTCGTGTGTGCCACCGAGTTGCCAGAGGTCCTTGCTGTCGTGGGAGACCGGGCTCTTGGAGGCGGCGCGGCCATTAGGTTGGTATCTCGACGGTTAGTCTCCCGGTGGCTGGTCGCTGCGGCGGGCGTGCCGGTTTTCGTTTCTGGAATTTGGACTACGATCTCGCTTGCCGGGCTGCTGTGACGTTGACCGGCAGCTGATGACGGTTGCTGTGAGTATTGCGGTTGACGCGAGTATTCCCGTTGATGTGAATGCTGCGACTGACGTGATTGTTGCGGTTGATGTGAGTTTTGTGATTGACGGGAGTGTTGGGGCAAGGCCCATGCCGGCGTTTGTGATGGTAGGCCGTGTACTGGCGATGAGCGGGCGGGAGTACCATCTTCGTCCCTTGGCTGGAAAAGTGTCAGCGGTGATTCCGAGATGTTTGGTCCCGGCGACGTACCCCTAGACTCATCCGACGATCTCCATCGTCGAATGTTGACGGGCCGGCCTCATGGTAGTCACTGCGGCTGCCGGCTGCGGCGTTGCGCGCCAGGAGTTGGAGGGCGGTGGAGGACCATCGTAATGAAGGCCCTGTGCGTGGGTTGGGAGACGGGGCGGTGGTGATGGAGGTTGAGGCGGAGGTTGAGACAGGGGATGATGCCGTACTTGGGTGGTAAGATGAGGCGTCGGCGGAGAGGCCCGGACTCGGCCCGGGTGGATACGGGCGGGTGTAGTCGGGGGTTTCCGATACCCTGTCCAGACGCCTCATCGCCTGGTTCGCCGCCGGCGAGGGCGAGTACTGGCTGTAGACGTCGGGATGCCCTCGTATTTGCGCTTCCTGTGCGGCATGTCAATGACGGATGTCGTTGGACGTTTCACTTGGACATGGGACAGGTTGAAGCGGAGCTGTGGGGGTTGGGCGTGTTTTCGGAACGGACCTGTCTATCAAGAACGCGCATGACATCAACATCACTCAAGTGATCGCGACGAATGCCCCTATTGCGGGTGCGATTTGCCAGACGGGCCGTGACTTCGTTCGAGAGCAGGATGCGGGCTTGCTCGAGGTTGACGAGGCGGCAGAGCATGCACAGGTGTTTGCGCAGGTTGTTGCTCCACGAGCGCGGCGACAGCTCGGGGCCGAGGATGTCCTCGAGGCGGGAGATGCGCCACGTTGATAGGACTTTTTCGGCCTGCGCCTCGGTGAGGTTCATCGCGACGCAATGGTGCGCGCACGCGCGCGAACTCGGTCTAGGTAGTCGATGGAGTTGTGCGGCGGCGGCGATTGATGAGATGCGACGGCTAGGGCGGAGGACGGGTGGGCGGGTGAGGGTGGATTGAGCTGGCACACGGCGACGAGGCGAGGGCGGGATGTACGCTGGAGCCCATCACATTGCAGTACTCCAGGCTGCAGTGGGAACAGTTCAGTGGTGGTGGGGGTGCCCAAGCGGTGCCCCGGGGGAGACGGGAGCCCGACCGGGAACAGGCCGTCGGATTAACTCACCTACGGGGGTTGTTCCGAGACGGCGGTTGGGGCGGTTGAGGTAAGGCGGTAGAAGGACTCGCAGTATTGTTTGCTTGTTTGTTGGTTGGGGATCCCTCCCAAATTAGCCACCGCAGATATTTCCAATAGAGAATTTCCAATATAGTTCGACGTCACGTGGTCATGTTTGATTCACATTAAGCTTTTCGTTCGCTCCACAGCCGTATTTAGCATGTTGCACCCAGGATCACTAGTCCCGGTCAAGTGTAAAATTCTATGTGGATGGCGACCGGTGGTCCCGTAGAACCCCGAATACTTGGACCGGACACGACCCTGTAACTGATGACAATGTTTAAGGGACGAGTCACTATTTGCTCACTTCAAGCAATATAGAAGTCATCACTTTGAGCATCAGTCCGACTTGCGCCCTCCGGTGCCTGGCCATCGACAAGCATCGCATTCCCAGATGAGTCCATAACCCTTCGTCAAATCCCAGGCTACCTCCGGGTGGCGCCCCGATGCAGGGCCCACATCTGCGGCGGCCGAGCCGGGACGCTAGTGCCAGCGCACGGGTCGGCCACGGCCGTGGGGCAACAAATCCGAGGAAGGCGCCATGCGTGCAGCAATCCAGCTGTGCCTGCCTGGTGAATTTGGGCACGACTGCACCGGGATTGATGAGCATGCAAAGAAGTCACTCACCTGGAAGGTGCACCTGCGTTCCTTCCGTGGTAGTCAGCTAGCGAGGCAGAAACATACTCCCCGCCAGCGACACCTACAAACTCCCGGTTTATCACGAATAAGTCTCGACATTCAGCCCCAAGAAATACGTCACTATAAGCGATCGTATGATCAACATCACAATCATGATGCCTTACAGTACGCTCTCCCTCCACAAATTTCCCGTTCTTTGTAGTCAACTGACCCGACAGACAGCCAGACTGCAGCCAAGGATCATCTATCACACCGCCGGTTTCCACGTCCTCAACACGGACGGCGACGTCAAGAGACAATCCAGGCTCGCTGTTCAAGACCTCCGGCAGCTCTTTCCCAACTCTTCCGTCTCCGTTGAGACTACCTGGCACGGCGACACTGCACATACCGTCATCGACGTTCAAGGTGGTTTCATCGACAGCGACAGGTATGCCACGGCGTTCGAGATTATGAAGGACCTTTTCGTGGGCTACTCCATTTCTACGTCGACCACCGAGCTGCCAATTCTTGTTGAGTAAAGGTGCGGCGGTTCCCGCTGACTTCTGTCAGATTGTGTGGGGGGCGAAGGTCGGCAGAGACAAGCAAGCATCGTCATGGGCATCAATGGCTTCGGATTTGGCAAGACCGAGGATAGTCAACAAGAATAAGGAAGGGTAGCTGAACAGACATTACATCTGGGCACGAGGCGTTGCTTTCTGATCATCGACGCGAAACACGTATGGTGATTAGGCACCCGTACAAATCGTCGCATATATCATAATGAAGTAATACAATCCTCCCTGCTCAATGATCTCTGCATGTGTTACCTGGTTAAGATGACGTGCGAGTCAAGGGCCCTGACGTGGACGTGATCCATTCTGCAGTTTCATCGCTGCCCGGCCAAAGCCTCTGCGGTTCCTTGGGGTAACACCCGCATGACTTCAAGAGATTAATAGTTGATGAATTACAAAAAGAACCGACTGTTTGTATACCAATCACTCCGCGATCATCTCGCAGTTGGCTTTGCTGAAACGCGCAGGCGCTGTCTTCCAACCCAGACTCGCTTTCCATACGAGCAGAAAATCTCAACCGGTCCGGCTGACCCAATGAATTCAGGTCTAGGATCGCCCCGATTGTCTGTTCATCGAGAACAATGTTTTCGGACTCATTGTGACCGTCTGCCGGGACTGACTGCGCCGGCAATAGCGACGGGAAAGAAGGGAAACCTGCGATCTATCGGCAAGAACCTTCAACGGCTGAATGACGGTGCAGGATGGTAGCGCATTCATTAGCAATAACGTGCAGCCGATATCTTAAAAACGATGTTAGGCCTCTTAGAATCCAGTTCAAAGTACTACAAAGCCTTGATAAGTGACAGGACCTAGAAATCAACTGCGACCAAGCGAAAGAATAGGCCACAAAACAAAATGTTGATCTGACCCGGGATTGAACCGGGGACCTTCAGTGTGTGAGACTGACGTGATAACTACTACACCACCAGACCAGTTGCTGCTGTTGGCAAACGGGAGACAGTGAGAGGATCTTGAGGGCTAGGCTGTGGCTGCGGTTGCCTTGTGTGGAATCGCAAGGACTTAGTGCCCTCAGGCGGAAATGCGCCGTTTGAGGATGGGATTCCTGATGCCGTTCGCCGGGAACAAACCAGGTGTTACAGTAAATTCAAATGAAGAAGGCCTACCTTGTGATAGAAGTGTTGATATCACGATGATTCGGGGCCTGACAATTTGGAACTGGAGAATTTGCGAGCCTTGCCTGTGTTGTGACTTTCTCAAAGTTAGACGAGGTTGTCACGAGAATGTTGATTCCGCACTCGGGTAAGGGGTATAAACTATACTTATTATCCTTCCTTGGATCAGCCTCGCCTTACAATCTTACAGATATCCTATTACTGAAGTCCAAAGTGCCACACCCCATACTATGGTGTTAACGCAGTCGAATTTGTCTCGGCCGAGGCTTCCTTGTCCAGCTTTGCCTTCCGCATTGCCTGCCTCATCTCTCTCTTGGTCTGTCGAACCATCCATTCAAACTTCAAGTCTCGCTCAATTCTGGACCTGACCTCTCTCAGAAATCTCAAGTCGTCTTCCTCGAATGCAAACCCTTTCGCTCGTCGACGTTCCAAGGCTTTCACGAGTGTGCGGACGTATCGGTAATCGGATCTCCCAAACGCAGACAGCTTTTTCTGTTTTAGTCGGGGGTCTCGCGGGGGTCCTTTGATCACAACAGTTGAAACTTCCCAGCAAGTGTTTATGGTTGGTGTTTGATCGTAAGACGTTGTGACATGGGCAGAAGCGTCGTTGGGTGGCTCACTGTCGGGCACGTCTGACAGTGGAATTTGTGATGCCTCCCCCTGGACACCATTTTCGTGTGTAATTGCCGAAAGCCGTGGGCTGCTCGATAAGTTTGGAACCATCGTCACTCCAAGTAATTGTTGGCCGATGCAAACGCAGGCTCAGTGACGCCGCCCGAAAGGACTGTCTGATTTCTATTAGTGAAACAGTCGCATGTATTCCTTGGAATGTCATACCTAGACTTGAGTATGAGGGGACATCGAAAACTAGATTTGCACGCTAATGAGCCCGACAGCGGGAATGAAGACAATGCCAAATAAAAGTTGGAGGTTCTCCCACTTATCTTTGGAGTCGCTCCCAATGTTTTGTAATCAAGCTGCCGAGGCTCTAAAAGCCTCCCCGGCAATGTATCTATTTGCCGCCCTCCTAACCTTGCTTGGCTGCAGGGTCTTTTGAGGTCAACAGATCTAGACGACGGCGGCAAGGGGTAACCAACGCTGTCTGAAAGCAAGCAACCGGCGTTGGATCAGAACTGAAGGGGATGGCTGGTCTCCGGGATGAACCAAGGCTTCTGGGCGACACCGTACCGCAGCCAATTGTAGATCGAAGCCAGAAAGACGAGAGCATTGTGTGGGGAAACTAACGTAGAGAGTCGAGCATCCTTCCCTTGCGGGTGACTCGCCCCAGTCTAAGAACACGAGTTGGTTAGCGGCGTATCGGACAAGGATAACTAGAGCACCAACACGAACTCAGACCCAACAGTATCATTGAGCCAGATCGATGACATGAGAAATGAACCAAGAAGCGTAGTGTCAGAAGGTGCGCGTGCCGACCGTGCTTAGAGGACTGGGGTGCAGTGCCTCGGGAAACTGCCCCTGTCATCTCATTTCAATCCCAGTCGACAAACACGCAACAAACAACCAACAACTACTGGGGTCGAGACCACAATCAGGCTCGCAATTTTTGCTGCGGAAATAACGTGGAAACATGAAAAACTCGTCTGAACACCGATTGACAAGATGACACTGACGAACCTGGACCGAGTTTTAGGCCTGAAGCAAGCGATTCACGCCGAGGCTCTGCAATCTCGCAAACCAAGGTGTTCGCTATGACAACCATGGTCCCACGTTCGTTCCACTACCGAGGGGCGAAAATCTGGACACATCATGATGACAACAAACGATTTGAGTGAGAATACATTTTCTCCCAAACGCGCTCTATCACCAGCTCTATGCGGCATCGTGGCATCTATGTCTGAAATGTCAACGGTCTGCTTTCACGCGGAAACCTCGAAATATACGACTCCAGGCGTGGGAGCCAGGCCTTCACCTGAGCGCTGCGTTTATCGGCTCAACTGCTCGTTTTATTCTTGCTAGATGATGAAACCTCCGCCACGGCTGCCATCCTTGGGCATGAGGGATCGATGCGTAATGCGCTCTTCCATGTCAAAATCAAGGATGACCTTGGTCAGACGACGCAAATCTCGACCAGATATTCCAACTAGCTCCAATGCCACCTTATATCTTGCATCGTCGCGAATACCTGCTCGGCTGATTGGATGCTCCATCACTCCTTTTTGGGCCCTGGACTTTGGGGCCTGGGGCCTCCCCATTTTTTTGCGTGTCTGCTGGAGGCTGCCTGTGAGTCCCCGAGTAGCGAGATAGTCCTTGACAAGAGCTGGATCAAGACGTCGTATCTTAGGGACTGTTTCCCAACTTGTGTCCTGGACTGAGTCCGAGTATCCTACCCATTGCACTCTCAGGCGCTTGCTTTGAGAGTCGTGGCCAAGAATTGCAAATACATTGAAGTGATCAGTCCCAATCGTCTCTTCGCGGGACTTCCCCAAAGCGCTCCAATACGCATATACTTTTGAGGGTGTCGTTTGTTGAACGATGATTTCGGGCACATTCCTGCGCGATTGATCGGCAGCTCGTTCTGTGATGAGGCTCACAGAATGGCCGTTGCCAGTTGACGTATGGCCGATTATTCTGTCGTCGTCGTCGTATTCTATGAAAATCCAAGGTTACAATCTGTAAGGACTAGCGCCTGGATTGATGATCATACCTTCGTCCTTGGCTTCGGTTGGAGTTGAGCTGATCGCGGCGGTTTTGGCACGTCTTTTCTTTGAGATCTGTTTCGTTGTGGTGCCAATCTTGGCGGAACCCCGCCTTTTGGGCGACGATTCTTCTCGCTTGGCCCCGCGACGAGGAAATGCGTCTGAACCGATAGCACTTCGGCGGTAACGGTAGTGCGTTTGAGCCATGATGATATTAACTAGTGTGCGGGGTTATCCAGAGAATAATTCGGCGCGAGTTTGAGCCAGCAATCCTCAAGGAAGCTTGCGAGAATTCCAAACACAACGCGGTGCGGCACGACGCGCTGCCAGCCACCGTTCTAATGCTGTGTGACGGACACTTTGGATGCCTGATGAATGTAAGCTTGACTTGATAGGCCTGACAGACGTCACTTGCGCGAGATCCCTGTCTCGTTGTTTTGTACCTAGGGCGTACACCATAACGGGGACATTCGCGCACTTCTCAGTGGTGGGAATACTTGGGGAGTACCCACACTGCGGCGTACGGGGCATTCATCACGCAACATGTGCAAGGCAGACTCGCTCTTAGAAGGCTTTGGGCCAAAGTCTGACAAACATACTAGTCTCTCACTTTCTGCGAGTCACGGGAACGATATTCTATGAAAGACGATTCGTGGGTTGCCTTTTTGCTGTGAAGACCAAAACGCATAATTGGTCTGGGAGGGACGTGAACAACAAATTCAATGGATTTAACCGCTGGCATTAGTCTTATCAGGATCGTCAACCGCCGCTAGTATCCTCATCTTTATGGGTTGGCGGGCTTGGCTTCATGAGATCAGGCATTGCAAAGGTCGGTGGTGAGAGTTAGTACGTTTAGCTAGCCGGGCGCACCACTCCCCATGGGTAGTATTAAAAATAATTCTTTCTACTTTACTCTCATCCCTATTACTACTGCCACGGATGCTACCCCCGTTGTCTTCATCATCGTCGTTGTTGTCATCTTCATCTTTGTCGTCTACACACTTATTACTATGCTTCTATTGGATTTGGTTCGTTTTAGCAGTTGTTTGTGCATCGATCCCTGAAAAATCGCCCTGGTCGTCTTGAACCGGGACCGCAAAATCCGTCTCTTTCATTGATGAATCTCTGTTGCCGCATCGTCTTTTACTGCAGAACGCGTAGCTTCCCAACCGAAGGTCTGTACCTGGCCACAATACGTTGGTCGACTCCGCCAAGTTCATACCGAGGTTTACCACCTGATGATAAGTGTACGGCAGGGTGACAATCAACTCCCCAGGCTTGCAGACAACGATACTGTACTTGATGCCCCAGCCGTCCAGTGTCTCCTGTGAGAATAGTATATTTGAATGTCGGATGAACTGCGAACACGTCTTGCGCCCATCTAAACGTCGTCGACCACCCCTCGTTTTACCGCCCAACTTTCTGGAAGCAGCAAACTCTTCGAGCCTCCTCGATGAGCCAGGCTCGACGATCAACCATGTCTTTGGTGAACCCCAGCGGACCATGTTGACAGAGGGAAGCCCCGCATCTTCGATGTGCATTGGTGTACAAGTACCTCCGTCTTTGGCGAAGTAAAAGTAGGGAGCCGTAATTCCAGGATAATTGCGTTTAGGCTCAAGCAGATGCTCTAGATGTGATCCACAGGTAAGGTGTGTCTGCATTTGATTCGAATGGTGTACCGACTCCCAATCTCCGAGATAGTAATCGCATGGCGATGAGGGCTTTTGAGAAGCCGACGAGAAGACAGCAATTTCATCCCCACTGTAGTCATCGTGGAGCGGAATGTTTATGCTCTGATCAAATACGTTGGCGCTGTACAGAATCTGAATGTTTCCATCTTCGCTAATCGGGGAATAAGTCGCACTATAATGGAAAACCATGATGTCATTGGATTTTGGAGCTATTGTGATGGAGTTGTCGGAGGGTTTATGGTAGTCGACGACCTTAACCTTTGCGAAACCTTTCAGAGTCACTGCTTGATCTCTGCACAAGGTGCCCAGTGTATCGCTTGTGCTTTCGCCAAGATCTGCGAGTCTACAGGTAGGGTCATCTTGGCTAGAACGCTACAAAGCTTAGTGACCACACCCAGAAACAGGGAGAGACGGGGAAGAAGCTGACATTTGGAGTTTTTCATCATCGTCAGAGTTTCTGGCCAGGCCAGCCATTTTTGGACACTTCAATGCGGTCTTAAGTTGAGCTTGCGTGCGACCGATGATTGTGCACAGTATCATGAACCAAGGTCAACGCAAAGCAATGGATATGAGGGGAATTGCTTGTCCTGAAGGGTGAGGACGGATTTCAGTGTTCGGGCTCCAGATTGTCGCCTTCCGATTTCCTGGGAGTGACTTTATGTACCTAAACATTCTCCTGGCTATCAAGGTGTCCAAACAACCGATGGCGTCAATATTGCGTTGATAAAGTTCAATGGCTTGAGGAACGCAGGAGTGGGCAATGGCTAAGCTGGTGGACCTGGAGAATATCGTTAAATGCAATGTCCTTCGAAGCTGGCCCTTTCTGTTATACCTGTATTCCCGCTTTTATATTGACTTGGCCTACAACTTTGTACCGCCGATGAGTGACGCTATTCCAGTGCCTATGACACCGATTGGAGACGGCTAGCAACAGCTTCAACAATTGGATCACTCATGCTGTCTCTATTCGCAGCCGCTGAGGTCAAAGGTCCGCGGAATTAGCTTATAACTCAATGCAGTGTTTGCTTTACTCCTAATTCAACTCGTCATCTCACTTGGCGCAAGATTATTTGTTGCGGTCACCAACTAATTACTCATTCTCTGGTACAGGGAACATCAATCCCATGATGTCTTCCCGTTTTTTCGGCGTCGTGATATACCCGAACTTGAATTCACAATGGCTGAAATGTCTGCTCGCCCCTTCCGCTCGTTTACAGCCTCCTGTAAAGCTCGCACTGGGACCAAGCCAGAGGAGGTTTGGATAGCTACTCGTTTTCCAACGTTGCTCGTCATCGAGTATGAACCCCGAAGATGAAAGCTCAGGGAGAGGCAAAGGTGTGGACAGGGCTTGGTGTTGCTTGCACATAAGGTGTGCTGCAAACGATGCTTCTATACATTCCGGTCGATGCCACCACCACTTCCTCTGGCACACGCGACAGCGGACATTGGTGTAACTGTCCGTATTGAGGCAAAGGCCTCGTCCTCTTGCTCATGACGAGTATTTTCGCCGGCAAGCCGCTCGCATCGATCTATTTGAATGGAAAGTTCTGTGTCGGGGAGCGGATGAGCGGATAATCGCTGCTCCATGAATGTGTGGAACCTCTAGCGAGGTCTGATCTGAACGCCGCGCATTTCAATTCGCTTCGGTTCAACGGTCGGTGAGCGACTTAACCCAGAGCTAAATGCTGTCGACTTGAGAATTTCACGGTGAGTCGGTAAAGAATGACTGAAACACGACTCATGGTCGGTAATGTCTGTGGCGTTTCAACAGTGTTCAATTAAGACCATGGGGCGACGCAAAAGGCCCATTACCCGGATTCAGTTGAGTTCTTGGCTGTCGCCTCCAGCGGAAACAAAGTGGGTTGTCATGGGCCGGGGTATTGTTAGGGTTGAATGCGGATGAGTGGAGTTGACACCGCGAGAACGATTCTGAGAGGCTCTGATTGCGTGGCGGTGAGGCAACTCTCGCCATTGACGTGCCAATAGGAACAAGTACTCACCGAACGCCTCCTGCATCCCGCTAATTGCGCGACAATCCATCTCGTCAGCGGCCTGAAATATCCACTTTGTTTGTTGGCATTTGGGCACACCGGCATCTGCCATTTCCCGCCCAAAGAAAAAGACACCTCCAGAACATAAGCTTCAGGTGCAGAACAAGAACACCACAGGGCAGACAGTCAACATCTCCAAAGCCAAGCAGCCACGCGAACAGAGAGTCAACTCCATCCGACCTAAATAACCCCAAAACCGCAATCATGACGAACGTCGAAAACGGGTCCAGTCTCCACCTCAAGACCCTGAAGACCAACGTCCCAAGCGAGTATGCCACTTCAGGCAGGGTCCGACAGTGGCTTCTCCAACACCTCGAGAACCGCAATGTCGACCTGGTCAATGGACCGGAAGCATTCGTCTGTTTGTGGAATGGCTCCGAGCTTCACTCGCTGCATCCAAACCACATATTCGGATCTCTCATCTCCCAGGGGATTGCCCCGCAGACCGCCCACCACGTCGTCGGAGATATGATGGAATGTTTAGAGGTATGACGCCGTACCTCATGTTATTTCCATCTCTCCGATGGGATTCTAATGCCTCTTCAAGGACTACCGTGCCAGACGCGCGGCTTGTGTGGCTTCTGGCCAAGTTTGGTTTCCCGATCCAGACCCGGAGCCAGAGTCACAGCCAAAGGGGCGGCCTGAGCCGGAGGAGCGGCGACTTCGTCTTGCCGAAGATTGCGAGGCTTTGCCAGAGCAGATGGAGAATTCCCAGAGTTGGTATTCTTCCTTGACAACTGCCAGGGGTGGAGTGCTTGCAGCTGGAGTTTCTCTGGCAGTGGGACTTGGGGTTATGACGTGGTATTTGGTCAATCCTCCTTCGAAACAAGAAGATAAGAAGTAAAGTTCGGAGAAGCTCCATGACCCAGACACACAAATCTGCCTTACATCAAGTGCCTCTCACTAGCTCCAAGTCCGAAGGCATGTGCGATTTGCCAAATGCAAAAATACTATGTCCGACAATTCGACGAACTGTATTGCTGCTAGGATTTCATAAGTGAGGATTGGGCTTCGGATTTCGCGTCTGATAAATGATTTCTTGCAAATTATTCTGCTCCGTGACAGACTTCACTCCATCCGGCTTTCGTAGATCAAAAGGACTGAAGTTTTTCAATGCTATTTTGTCGAAATTGTTGCGGAATGCACCGAAATCCCAGCATTTGCCCCAGGTATTGGCATCAGGCAGAGGTATCTCCGTGTGCTCATACCATTGGTATACTTGGAAGCAAATAATCAGTATCTCGCGTCTTTGATGAAACTGTGACTTACTATAAAGCCCAGGGTCTCCTGCGCAGGTGATATGGTCTAAAATCATTGCCAAGCAGTGCGCAATGTGATGTCCATGCATCGGAAGTTGTTCTGTGCCGTTTGGGTAGTAGTAATCTTTGTACAATGCTTTCCGGATGTAGTCAAGACAATGAAGCCTGTGGAAAACAAGTGCGTGCGCAAGATAGGTCTGTTCGTTATCGATGTGGTACTCTTTGGGCAGCATCACGGCCACTGAAGGATCCTTCCTCATGGAAATTATCTCTGCGGCGGTCACTGGGATGGTAGCCTCCGTCGTAATTCCCTCCCACATCTTGTCAATTTCAGGATTCGGCTGAGAGCCCCAGGTCATGTCGCCGTTGCCACCCTTGATCGTCTGTGGCTGATCAAATCGGAGAACATAAGGAATGTCTATGCGGTCTAAGAGCGGAGCTGCACAATAGGCCAAGTCAGAGACATGCGTAGCATCGTGTGGCACACTTACAGTAGAATGAAATATCTTTCAATGATTTGTTGATTGGCTGCTCGCGCCACAAAAACCAGAAACCAGCGGCCATTGAAAAGACGATAAGGTGAGTAACTGTGAAGATTTTGATCACCTGTTTGGTGGTCCATGTATGATCATGTCGATCGAGTGTCGCAAGTTCTATGCCATCTTCCTCGCCGCAGTCTTTGTCTAACGGGGCATATTGTGCTTCCGTATTATTGGTAAAACCTCGGTAGGTGTTCAAAATCATTGCAGTGGAGGTATTCTGCCGGAAAATTGGGCAAAGAAAGCTTCCCGGCGCTCACAATGATGGCGAGATTCAATTTCATAAAGTCTGAGTGTATTTATAGCCCCTCAGTGTCCGTCCAAGGAACAAAGCAGTCTACAAACCAAATGGGAGGAATTATAATTCCACCAAAACACAAACTTCATGTATCCAGTCAAACAGAGGTTCGCCTTGCCAAGACATATTAGATCATCTAACCTGCTAGCACAGGCCTGCCCTTCAATGATCTAACGTTGGGATCACGATCATGGCTCGTGCAAAACTCCCGAAATGCCCGAAACTCCCGATGTCCATGCAGAATCTCATCCCCTCCGCAGTAATATTTCAATGCACGATCCAATTTTACGGAAGTTGAAATTATCATCTGTGACAATTGGTCTCTTCGACGCAAATAATTAAAGCTGCTACACGCCGGTGTAGATGATGTAAATCAACATGCTGTGGTCGCTTTACGTGCACACATCAATAGTACTACCAAGTCGTCCACCAAAACACTGAAACACGCCCTGCAAAGGTCTCACGAGCTGTATAACATCATTCCTACAGTTCGAGAATCAACCACAGTAGGCTAAGCAGCGTTGAGTTCGTCCCGAGTTTCTTGATAGCGATGACCTTCATCTGGGACGTACTACTTTGTGCACAGAATGAATTCCTCTGAAACCAAGGATGTCAAAGTCTTCATCGGTTCAATACTTTGTACATGATGGGTAAGTATGACCGAAGCAATAGGGATCCTCCTTGACTGATATCGGGATTGGACGAATACTCCGGGATCTTGATCATTAAATACTGCGATTATCAGGTTCTAAGTGACGACAAGAAAGATGAAGGAGACTATGCAATGTAGCCTTCCAGCCCATTACCGCAATTTATATCGGTAGGTAGTCATTCAGTGTTACGGTCAGCTATCCGACAGTAGGGTCTGCTAACAGAAGCTGGGGATTAACACATTATAACAGTACACTAAGGTCATGGTCTAAGTTATAGGTTATAGGCTATAGTAGATCAGGTTTTTTAGAGACTAAAGTGATTAGTCTTAGGCTTAATAAGTGATTTATAGTGAAGGTAAGCTGAGAGTATCTATAAGGATAAATACTAAGTTAATTACTAAAAAGCTATAGAAGTCTAATTATAAATTAAACTTAAGATTATACTATATATAAGTCTTAAATAGTTCCTTTATCTAACTACTGATTCCTAACTAAGTACTAGTAAGCACTTAGTAATCCTTACTAAGTACTTAGTAATTTATACTATCTACTCAGTTTTATCTTATTATTATATAACTTATACTATAGTTCTTCTATTTCTAAGTAAGTTCCTACTATTCCTATAATTCTATAGTATAAATATTCTATCCTAACTACCTAATACCTAAAGTAGGTTAACTAACTATTATCCTTATTTATAAGTTATAATATTAGATCCTCTCTCTAAAGGTTTTACCCTTAAGACTTAATATAAGTAGGTTATTAGTCTTAAGTTAAGGATCTACTAATTATACTTCTTATTTTTACTTATAATACTAACACTATATTAAGTTATATTACTAATAATCCTATAGTTTCTATACTCTATTATTATTATTATTCTCTTAATATTACTAAGAATAGTTTTAAAGTTATACTTTATTATTATTATTACTTAAAGGGTTTATATTATAAAATACTATTAGGTTTATTAATCTATAAGGAGTATATTACTATTAATAGCACTTATCGCTCTTATAATACTTCTAATAATATAATCTACTAGTATAAGTTTTTATCTTTTTATTATTAGTTTTTCCTTACTAACTTATTATAGTAGAGTAATTAATAGTAGAATCTTATTATCTAAACAATAAGGAAGAGGAAATAGAGGAATTATTTCAAAAGAGAATAAAGGCACTATAAAAAGCATAAGTTAAAATAAATAAGGCGCTTATAAAGTTAAATTATATTTATAAATTAAAAAGGGTTATAAGGAGACCTTAGTAGTTATAGATAAGGATAAAGTAATTAAAGATCTTTTAGCTAAATCTTCCTTAGTTTTAGAGGCGTAGTTATTAGGTGCTTCTAAGGTCTTAGATCTAGATTTAATTTTTAACTAAAATCCTAATACACTAAATTTCTTATTAGGGGGATCTTAGTTATACTTTAGTATTCTTAAGTAGATAAATAGTTTTTTATTTACTTTATAATTATTCTAGTAACTATATATATAAATAAGTTATTTTAGAGGTATAAGGAATTATATATATAAGTAGTATTTATATCTTTCCTCTATTTCCTATTATTATTATTTATATTATTCCTCATAAATTCTATTATATTCCTACTATTCTTCTAAGGTTATAAATAAGCTTAATCTATCCTTAAGGTCTATATTATTAAGTATATTAATATAGTTTTTAATCTTATTATAATAGTTAAATAAGTTATTATTTAGTTCCTATATATTATCTTTATATTTATAATTTTTCTATTTAATAAGGTATTCCTATTTATTATCTCTATACTAATAATCTAATAGCTTCTCTACTTTATACTTTAGTTTATTATCTTCTATAATAATAAAGTTATTTATTTATAATCCTTATAGTACTAACTTAAAAAGTGAAATATAGAATATTAAGTAGTATTTTATAGTTTCTAAGAGTTTAAACTTATAATTAATTAATAAGATAACTTATAATATTTTAAAAAGTCTAAGTTTTTTATAGTTAAGTTTATTACTTAGTCGTTTTATTTTAATATTTTACTATATAAAGTAAGTACTATCTCCCTCTTTTAAAGTTAATCCCTTAATCCTTTATTTATTACTAAATTTTAATATTTATTATTAAATAAATTTAAGTTTTTTATATATATTATCTTAGATATCCTTAATTTATTATACTGAGGTAGTAGCTTTAATTACTACTAAGCCTATTTAAGGTTCTCTATAAGTAGTTAATTTAAAGCTATAGTTAAAGTAAAAAGGGGATTCCTTAGTACTTTCTCTAATTATACTATTATAAGTAAACTAAGTAATTAATAAAAATATAACTTAGTTATTTTAATTATAATTAATATAAGTATAGAGGTAAGTTTTAAAGATTTAATTAATTTATTTTATTTATCTATTAGTCTATAAGTAGGATATAGTAGATATTAATTACTTAATACTAAGTTATACTATAATTAACTTCTAAAACTTAAAAGTAAATATTTTATCTCTATTTAATATAATTTCCTTAAATATACTATAATTAGTAATAATATACTTAAGGAAGGTATATNATATTCTTTAGTATTACTTACTTCTTTATATAAAATAAAGTAGGTATACTTTATAAGTTAATCTACTATAATAAGAACACTATTAAAGTATACTCTTATAAGAAGTTCTTATAACTTTAGTAGTTTAATAATAAAGTTAAAAGATATAGATTACTAAGTAGTTTATAATATAAGTAAAAGTTATAGTATATTATAAGGTTAATATTAAGTAGGTTTACTTTTTAAGTATACTTTATAATTCTTAATTACTTTTACTATATATTCTCTTATAACCTTTTCTCTATATTATTATTATAATTATTTCTAAGTCTTTATAATTCCTTAGTAACTATATATAAAATATATATAAAATTCTATAATTACTTTATTATCTAGTTTATTAGTTAAGCTAATACTAAATTATTTAGTTATTATTAGGAGTTTAGCTATTAGTATTAAGTCTCTATTATCTTATTATTTAAGAATTACCTAGGTTTCTTTAAGTACTAAGATATTATAATTTAGTTATTAGCTAAGAGTATCTACTCTATTATTATTTAATCTTTTTTAATAAATTATTTAAAAGTTAAATTTTAAGAGGAATTCTAACTATTAGATTTATTATTTATTAAGTATTTTTAAAGTTATAAAATATAAGAGATTCTTATAATCTAAATATATAAGTACTTTATAAATTATTCCTAAAAGTTTAAGTTTCTATTCTTTAAAAGCTTTAATAATTACTATAAGTTCTTTATTATAGATTTAGTAATTAAGTTTTAGTTTATAAAGTTTATAAGAGAAAAAGGTATATAGGTATAAATATCTTTTTAAATCTTATTATAATAGTTATACTCTAATTATATAGTTAGATATATTAAGTTCTACTTTAAACTATTTTATTAGATCTAAAATAATTAGAATAGGTTTACTAATAATAAAGTCCTTAATCTTCTAGAATACTATCTATTATAGTTCTATCTATATAAAAAGTATATCTTTATAGCTAAAGCTAATAAAAGCTATATTAATCTTATTATAGTTTTTAATAAATTTATAGTAGAAGTTAATAAAACTTAAAAATCTTTAAATTTCCTTAAGGTTATTAAGTACTAGCTATTCCTTAATAGCTTTAACTTTATTTCTTAATATATAAACCTTCTTAGAAGTAATAATAAATCTAAAATATTTTACTTTTTATATATAAAATTTACTTTTTTTAAGTTTAACTAAGAGTTTAGCTTCCTAAAAGGCTTATAAGATATAATATATATCTTCTTTATACTTCTTAAGTATAAGTAAGAAAATAAAAATATTATCTAAGTAGATAACTATATAGATATTAATATACTTATATAGTACTATATTAATTATATTCTAAAATATTATAGGTATATTAATAAGACTAAAAGGTATAATAAGGTATTTAAAATATCCTTTTTTTATCTAGAAAGTAGTTTTCTATTCTTTACTTTATTTTATTTAGATTAAGTTATAAGCCTTTTTAAAATTAAAAGCTATAAACTAATTAGCTCTATATAGAACTTATTTTATTTTATCTATAAGGGGTAGTAAGTAATAATTTTTAATTATTATTTTATTAAGTATATAATAGTTAATATATAGTTATAGTTTTCTATTCTTCTTAAGTATAAATAAGATAGAGCTTCCTATTAGTAATATTAAAAGTCTAATATAACCTTTCTTAAGGTTTTCTTTAAAATATTTATCTAAAACTTCTATCTCTATTAAGTTAAGTCTATAGATTTTATTAAATTATAGTTCTTTCCCTTCCTTANGGGGATTTTATAATTAAAACTAATATATTTAAGTAGTTTAGTTTCTAATTTAGCTATAAAAAGTTTCTTATAAACTTTATATTTTTTTAGAATAAATAGAAGTAGATTATCTTTTTATTTAAGATCTATTATAATTAATAGTTATAATATAGCTTTTTTTACCTTAAAGTAGTAGATATATTATCTTATTATTTTATATAATATTAGCTTATTTAAAACCTATTTTTAGTAAGGCTACTTAAAGATTAAGTTATTATAATCCTAATAAAATTAGCTTTTACTCTAATTTATCTATAAGTTACTTATTTATAGCTAGAATAATCTTAGTATTATATTATATATTCTTAGATTAATAATATTAAATTAAATTCTTTCTTTTTAATTTAAGTAGTTTATCTTAAGAGGTATAATCTTATTATAGATAATACCTCTTTTATACTTAAATTCTTCTCTTTCTACTATATATAACTAATATAGTTATTTTTTTCCTCTTTATTATATTTCTAGTTTATTAATAGCTTAAGAGGTAATAAAGTTTACTTTTTCTCTACTATCTATTAGAATAAGTATAATTTATTAATTAATAGTTACCTTAATTTTAAGGTTTACCTTATATCCTTATAATATTTAGTAGATAGATTTTTTGCTATATACTTATTATAATCTTTTTTTAGTAAATAAGTTTAGTTTTTTAACTACTTTAAATATCCTAAGTAAGTAATTTGCTTTCCTTCCTATTATACTTTTATAAAGCTATTTTTATAATATCTAACCTAAAAAAATTAAGATCTATTCTTTATAATTCTCTAGGTATATACTTCTTCCTTATAGTAGATTTAGTATTTATTATATTAGTATTTATCCTATTTTATTTATTTATTATAGAGGTATTTTATAAGAAATTATTAACTAGAGGTAAATATAATAATATTACTATTAAATTTTCTAAGTTCCTATTTAATAAAGGTATATATAGTATAGATATTTTATAGAGGACTATTATTATATTACTTAGGTTAGAAATAGTAGTTATA